GGCCCAACTGCCAGGGCAGACATAGGTGGTTTGACTATCAGGCAGGTGTCCCCAGCCTTCCCTGAATTATTCCTTAGTGAAAAGTGGAGGGAAAATAAGATTGGTGGCTTATAGAATAAAGAGACTGCGGCGTAGAGCTCTCTTCAGTCAAAGGTCGCTGTGTTCCTTGTTAAAGGGTACTGCCTGGCTCTCATCTATTATAGGACAGAAAGGGATATTACTCAGTTATGCTTCCCAAACCCAGGTCCACTTAGGCATCCATTGAGTCTATGGGGGTATAATAATTTATTTTTAATTTTATGAGGTAAAGTACTAATCTTACCTGACCAGGAGACCAGCTTATCATAGAGCTCTGTTCCCTGATTTTGACACCCACAATTTGATTTGGGAGACCATCTACAGGAAGAGCATAGCCTTTAGGCAGGAGAGTTTGTGGATAAGTGAGGGCCTGTGGGGCGTCTGTATGTTGCTGTTTAATGGAACTTTTTTTTCTTTAGTACTAGGAATTGAACCTAGGGCCTCATACATGCTAAATGAGGACTCTACCACTGAGCTATCTCCCCAGCTCTTTTCATCTTTTTATTTTAAGACAGGGTCTTACAAAGTTTGTGCAGGTTGGCCCCAAACCTGTGATTCTCCTCCCTCATCCTCCCTACTTAATCCATTTCAGCTTGGATACCTTGATACTGCCTAAGAAGGCTCTTCCCTGCATCCAGACTCCTCTTGGGGGCTTGCTCGGCCCCACAAACTCTTCTGTTCTCACATGTGCTAAGCCTGGCCCCTGGCAGAACTTTGATACTTGCTGTTGTTTTTCTTGGCACATCTTCCTTATAGAGTGGCACATGGCTGCTGCTCTCCTGCTCTATGAAGCTACACCAATCACCTGGCTAAAATCACACGCTCGGGGTTCTTTCCTCTAAAATGAGGGTGCTAATTACATATGCTGCAGTAAAGGGTTGTGAAAATGAATGAGTGAAATGAGTGGAAAGCACAGAGTGGTGCCTGGCATGAATGGATGCTAGGAAGTGGTAGCCTTTCTCATTTCACAGAACCCGTGTTTTCACAGAAAAAGTTGGGGAGGAGACACAGGTTTCATTTGTACTTTATATACTGGAATTTCTTCTGTGAGTATGTATTGCTCTGTGTGTGGGGGTTGGGTGGATCGATGTAGGGAATATGCTGGGAATTGAATCCAGGGCTACATGCATGCTAGGGAAATGCTCTACCAAGGAACTGTACCTGTAGCCCTCTTCTGTTATTTTTAAAAATCAGTACCTAGTGATGTTTCATGCCTTTTGATCATGTAACTCACTGTTGAAAAAACCAGATTTCAACATTCCTTGATATCTTAACATTTTTCAACCCGTTTCCCATTTATAGGTAACAGATTATGCATGGTTTTGGCCTCCACTGTAAAGTGGTACCATCTGTCAACATACTCCATTGTTTTTGCTTGTTTCAAACCTTGCCTCATGGTTAGGTATTTTTTCCATCTTTTAAATATGAAATTTAGAAAACTTGCAGAGAAGTTGAAAAAGTTGAGTAATGCACGTCCCTGAGAACAGCCTACAAAAACAGCTATTTTGTTCTATCTGCCTAATTACATGGGTGTGGAGGGGTTGGCCTTTGCTGGTGGAATTTGAAGGTCAGTGGATTTGGCAACTCTTCAGTCCTGGGATCTGGAACATGTGTCACTGAAATGGAAGGGTCTCTGCTCTGCATTTTACCACTGTTCTGGGAAAATCATGGTCTGTGTGTATATCATGTATCCAGTTCTGTTCAGATTTCTCTATGTCTTCAAAAATATCTCTTGTAACTTTTTGTTTTTAATTCAGCATCTAGTCAGAATTTGTGCATTGCATGTTTGTTATGCTTCTTTAGACTTAAAAAAAAAATCTCTCTTTTCACTTGTCCCCAACCTTATTTTTTTCCTCTTTCCGATTTGTAGCCTTTACCTTGTCTGTCATCTGGGGCCAGAGAGGACTCACATGAGTCCTTTTGTAGCCTTGTCCTAACTCCTTTTTATCTCTCTTAAAGCACAGGAATATTTCCCTGAACAGTCCCAGCTGACCACAGCTGCATCCTGTCTTTGTCTCTGGATATGTCAAAGCAATGCTAGGGCCTTTTCTGAAACTACTCTTCCAGTTTTGGGAACCTGAGCAGGCTCAGTTGAGGTGATGACCAATGGGCCAGGAGGAGTTAGAACACTGGGGCCATCCACAGGACCCTTTCAAGCTGAAGCCTTAGGAGGGAGCCAAAAAGTTCATAGGGTGAGGAGCAGGATCCCAAATCAGAGATTGAGTCACTTTCTTTTACCTATACCTATAAAAACCACCGAGGGAGAATGGCACACTCCTGTAATCCTGCTACTCAGAGGCTAAGGCAGGTGGAAATTCAGTCCCACCTGGGTAACTTAGGCCCTGTCTGAAAAGTAAAAAATAACAAAAAGCTGGGGATATAGTTCAGTGGTAGAGTGTCCCAGGGTTCAATTTCTTAGTACTGCAAAGCAAAGCAAAGCAAAGCAAAACAAAACAACCAATAAGAGGTTCCTGGCCAGCTAAGTGGAGCTTCTCTTCCCATCAGGAGTGAGGTATTCTGGAAGCCTGACGTTTTCCATAACCACCAAAGCATGTTCTGTTTATAGGACACTGGCAGCTCTTAACCACAAAGACCTTGAAGAGTGTGGCGACCTCTTCATACCACCACCATTGCTTGGAACCTCTTCTGAAGCAGGCCCATCTCACAAAGACATTCAATCTCATGGTCACTTACACTTATCCTCCTTAGCCACTGGGGAAAGTAGCAGCCCCTTGTCAGTGGTCCTTTTTCTTTCCTTCCTGTTACTGGGGATTGAACCCTGGGCCTTTACACTAAACTACATCACTAGGCTTTTTTTTTTTTAATTTTTGAGACTAGATCTTGCTAAATTACCCAGGCTGGGGTTGAACTTGTGATCCTCCTGCACCAGTGTCCCAGAATGCTGGGATTATAGGTGTGCACCACCATACCCAGCTTGACTGTCCTTTTGTGGTCAGTGTCCTGTGCAGCCTTCAGCTTCTTGTCCTGTGACCCCTTCATCTACTGCTCCCCTTTCCTACACCCCTCTTCATCATTCCATATATTCTCAACACCTTCCCAGAGTCTGTTCTAAATCTAGCCACTCAGAAATAATCAGTAGGAATATATGGCTGGATTTTTGCTCTGTTTTTGTTCTATGCGTATATGTTTATGTATATATTTTAAAATCTGTATCATTAACATATTTTGCATTTTTTTGCTTGACATGTTGTGAGTTGTACCTCTGTCACCAAATGGTCTTAGAAAATAAGATTCTTTTTTTTTGGTACGGGGGATTGAACTTGGGACCTTGTGCTTTCTAGGCAGGCACCGGAACCACTGAGCTAAATCCTCAGCCCCTAAGATTCTTAATATACTGTTACATATTTAAATGCCCCTTTCAAGTAGATGTTTAATGTTTTTCTATTTATTTTGTTATTATAACAAATATTACAACATTTTTGTGCTTAAATCAGCTGTGTGTGTCTATGCACACTATATTTTTGGGGCTTAGTAGGGATTGAACCCAGGGCCTCACATATGCTAAGCAAGTGCTCTACTACTGAGCTATATCCACACCCCTTTTCTGTATTTTATTTTGAGACAGGTTCTTGCTGAGTCACTAAGTTGCCCAGGCTGGGCTTCAGTTTACGATCCTCTTGCTTCAGCCTCCCAGAGTACTGGTATTAACAGTTGTGTACCACCATATATACCTATATGTCCCAGAACTTTTTTATTTATATTTTGAGACTAGGTCTAATAAGTTGTTCAGACTGGCTTTGACCCTCCTGCCTCAGCCTCCTAAAGGATTTCAGGCGTGTGACACTATACTTGGTTAACTTATTGTTTGATAGATTCCTAGAGATGAGACTTGGGGTGCAATGTTTTTGGAAACATTTAGAGTATTTGATGCATATTACCAAGTCCTTTTCCAGGAGGTGTTTTGCTAGTCTATAATTCTTCCATTGTGTGACTGTGACCCAGCAATGAATATCATCATTTATCCTCTCCAAGTCCTTGGCCTTGGGCCTGGCTCAGATTTGGTGCTTGTGAGTGTTTGGGTAGCAGAGCCCACTTCACTGCATTACTATCTAGAGGTTCGGTGTCCTGGAGGTGTTGTGAGGACTGATGTATCCAGTTGGGTGTTTTGCACAAACTTAACCATTTTATGTAACTGATGATCACATGCTTTGCCTCATACCAGGTGGGCACTGTCTCAAGCAAGGGTGCAGGGAAACTTCACTCCTCACACCTGTACCCAAGCAACCCTGCTTTTACCTGTTTGGCATATTGGGACTCTGCCCAAGATTACTTTTTTTTTTTTTTGGTACTGGGGATCGAACTTGGGACCTTGTGCTTTCGTGGCAGGCAGTGAAACCACTGAGCTAAATCCCCGGTTCCCCAAGATTACTTTTTGAAAAAGTTGTACTGCTGAAAGAGATTTTTTCAAAGCCACTTCTTGTGCTCCATGCACAAGATTTCTCTAGCCACTCCAGACACATTCCTTCCTTTTAGCACTAGCCCCCTGCTTATTAAATACTCCATGCCCTCCTAGTCCCAGGCTTTGAACAGGCTTTCTCTTTTCTTCCTGGGTAAATTTTACTCTTAAGACCCATAACAGCTTCTCTGGGAACTCTACCCCACTATGATTGTTTGTCCACCTGTCTCCCAACTAGACAAAAAACCCATAGAGAATGAGAATGGGGCTTTTAATTTCCAGTCACAGTCCTTGCTGCACTAGATAATAAATGAATGAATGAAAGAACTAGAATTGATGAAATTATTGAGAGGGATCAGCCACTGATCTGTGTGCTTTTTCCTACTCGCCCTGACTGGCTGAGTATCTGAGAATGCTCTTTGAGAATGAGTCTGTGCTTGAGTCTACATTAGTTTGGCTTAGGGTTTTGTGAGCAAAATAACTTCTGTTCTCCTTGGCATATCAGCTCACTCGACGGTTGCCGCCCATCAAGGAAGCTAAGCCTCGGTTACAGAAGCTCTTCCGGGATTTCTGGCTGTACTCTGTACTGATGGGATTCGCTGTGGAGGGCTCAGGTAGGGGGCTGATCTCTCCCAGGGAAGACAGAGTGGAGAGGGGAAACAAAGGTGAGGTGGGACTCATCCTAATTATGAGTGTGAGCACATTCAGAATGAGTCCAAATGCAGCTGTTTCTTCCTACAAGTATTTTTAGACATCACACTTCCCATAGAGACCTTAGGGTTTTAAGAGGTATAAAAGGATTCTTTAGGCAGCACTGAAAGTATACACTCAAAGAAAATAGTGTGGGCCCTAAGAAAGACACATAATAGTGGGAACTGGGAACCCAGCCCCCCCCTTAAAATTTGAGACAGAATCTCACTAAATTGCTAAGTTGCCCAGGATGAGCTTGAACTTGCAGTTCTCCTACCTCAACCTCCCAGATTTCCGGGGTCATAGGCATCTGCTACCACACTTGGCTTTTAGGATCATTATGCCAAACAAAGGACCTAGGGCTTTCTCTGTCTTTTGGTGCCTGAACCTAGGAACTCACACATGCTGGTCAAGCATTTTATCATTGAGTTGAATCCCTCACCCTTGTCTGACTTACATTCTCCCTTGCAGGACTCTGGCCAGAAGAATGGTATGAGGGGGTCTGTGAAATAGCCACCAAGTCTCCTCTGCTCACCTTTCCCAGCAAAGAGCCTCTGCGATCAGTCCTCCAGTACAACTCAGCCATGAAAAATGATACAGTCACCTCTGTAAGGATACTCTTCTAGCTTTTGCTAAACTTTCTATAATGATCAGCGCAGATCCTTTCAGTGTTCTTATGTACACGTCATCCTCTGGGGCTCCTTTCTCCTGGGAAGGTGCCCTCATGAGTCTGTGAATGTTTCTTTCTCTCCAGGCTGAGCTGAGTGAGCTTCGAAGCACAATCATCAACCTGCTGGACCCTCCTCCCGAAGTGTCTGCTCTTATCAACAAGCTGGACTTTGCCATGTCAACATACTTGTTGTCCGTGTACCGGCTGGAATACATGAGGTACACAAGCCTTTACCTCCTGCACATCTGTGTTTGAGCGCAGTTTTGCATTTTTGTGCCATTCTACACATGGGATTTTTTTCTAGCTCCTTCCAAGACCTAAAAGCTTTCTAAAAAAAATCATACTAATAGCCTAGGCATAGTGGCACATGCCTATAATCCCAGTACTTGGCAGGTAGAAGTAGGAGGATCGCTGTGAGTTCAAGGCCAACTTGGGCTACAAAATGAGTTCAAGGCCAGCTTGAACTGCAGAGTGAGACCCTGTCTCAAAAAACAAAAAAAGAAAAAAAAAAAAAGCTAACAAACAAAAACAAAAATAACCTTTGCTTTTCTCATGTGCCCCTCCTTCATGTGGACCAGATGCTATATCTAATAACACATCCCACATTCAAACTCCATTATCATCCTATCTTTCATAGGAAGGGGGCTTTTGAGCAGTCTTAATGGACAATACAAACTCAGTCCATGGACTGGATGGGAGTCCCTCTGGGGAGCAGCCCTCACTGAGAAAGGTCCTAGGACATTGACTGGGCTGGTTTCCAAGACCACATCTGAATACAAATAACTAACGTGATGTAGGACAAATCAGGCTCCAAAATAGTGCTACTGATGGTCTGATGCTCAGGATATAGCTGTCACCACAGCAGCCCTAACCACTATGACTACTGTGACCTATAATTGCTGTCATGATAACAGCCATAGCTGACATGAATTGAGTGCCTCTGCTGTGCCTGGTATTGGGCTAAGTTTACAACCCTCTCCAACAAGCCTATGAGATTGGAACTATTATATGCCCATTTTACAGATGAGGGAACTGAGACAAGTTAAGTAAATGGCTCAAGATTGTAATCTCTGATGTGAATTGAAACCAAAGAGATCTCATAAGTATGCTGCCTCTTATAAATGAAAGCCATAAGAAGCAGCCAGATAACTGGAGGGAAAAAAATTACTGATGATCACCACCATCCCCTGTAGAATGTTAATATGGTTCCTTCTATTCCCCCCCCAACCCACAAGGATATATTTTCAAAGAAAAACAGGCCAAAACAAAATAAGCAAAACAAAAACACTAGCAGCTTTAATGCTAGTGTGTGTGACTAGAAGAGCTGTCCTATTCTCCTGCAAGTGTGCCCAAGTGTTTTCAGGTTTTCAGGGCCCTGGGCTATTGGGAGTCCCTGAGAGTCCTATCCTAGCATAGAGAAGGAACGCTGAGGCCTTTATTCAAGAACTTGGCTAAGATTTCCAAACACTGGTATTGGGGATAATTTTAAAACAACACAGGGGTGGGCTGGGAATTTAGCTCAGTGGTTTCGCCGCCTGCTGCGCAAGCGCAAGGACCTGAGTTTGATCCCCAGTACCAAAAAAAAAAAGGACACGGGAAAATGTGAAAAGTTAAAGCCATGTGCATGTGAGCACCCAAGAATACAGGCTTAAAGCCCCAGGAGCACCCCATGGAGGAAATTGCTTGAGAGGCTAGTGTGGAGGCCATGGACATGTACTCTGAGCCCCTGCTTTTGTGGGGAGCTTCCAGAACTCTGAATGGCTCTCTAAAGCAGCTGTGGGACAAGCACATGAATTTCTTTTCTTTTTTTCTTCCTTTTCCCTGAAAGTTAAATATATATGTTTTTTCCTTTGCTCTGTCATGCCTACCTGGTAATCTGCATGCATGAAAATATTTTATTAGTAATTATATTTTATTGTGAAAACTATATCTGGATCATTTAAACTTTTTTTTTTTTGCTTTTTTAATTGGTTATACGGTTAGTGAGTTTCATTTTTGTAGATTTATACATGCACATAACATACGTTGATTATTTTTCACACTTTCCCATCACCCCCTTGCTCTGCCATTCCTTCCTAATGTCACATTTTTTGAGGGGGATTTCAGTGTGTATGTTTTGTTCATATCCATCCCCCCATGACATATTTTACTATAAAAAAGTCCATGCTGCACAGAATAAAAAAGAGAAAAATGAAACCAATGAATGGTACAGAAGAATCTAAAGGCAAAGAAATATAGGCCTCACTTTCCTAGCTTTTTGTCAGCCCCTCATTCCTGTACCCTGTGGATTGTCTCATTTTCCCCTCCACAAATTTTCTGGGCATAGCCAAACCTATATTTGACACATACAAAAGCACAGATAGGCCTTTAGGAAACCTATCACTGGGATCCTACTGTGCCTGTTTGCCCTGTATTTTCTTTTCTCACTTAGTCATATCTCTTAAATGTTTTTCTGTAACAGCACATATAGGGCTGTCTCTTTAGTGACTATGTGATATGTCTTCGAATGACTGTGCTTTGATATAGCTGACCAGTTTTCTATTAATAGGCATTCTGATTATTTCCATTTTGGGTAATGCAGTCAGCACTGTTAATAAGAATCCTTGCGCACATAACCCTTGAGATGTGGGGTTCCTGGGTTGAAAAATATGGGAATGTTAGGATAGATAGTACACATCACCCCCCAGAAGTCCAAGTTCCTTATTTATGGCAGGTGTTGTCTGTTCCTCATAGCTGTACCAGTTCTGAGCAGTGTCATCTAATAGGGACGATCTGGATTTCTCAAAATTATTTAAAGCTGTTCTCCTTATTAGGGTACTACGTTCAACAGATCCTGATCGATTCCAGGTAATGTTCTGCTACTTTGAGGATAAAGCTATTCAGAAAGACAAATCTGGTAAGTTTATTATTCTGGTACTTTCATGATGAATTGATTTATAATAGAATAAAAAGGAGTAATACTTCATATTATCTGTCCACATGGAGAAAATAGTTTTATGAAGTTACATGGTACATTGGAAAGTCAGCATAAAGCAGAAAAATATGTCTTCTAGCCAAGCATAATGGCACATATCTGTAATCCCAGCTACTTAGAAGGCTGAGGCAGAAGGATTGCAAGTTTGAGAGCAATTTGGGCAACTTAACAAGACCCTGTTTTAAAGTAACAGGAGCAGAAAAAAGAGCTGGGGCTGTAGTTCAGCACTTTCTCTGATCAATCCTCAGTACTGAAAATAAAAATTAAAAAATAAATACATACATATGTATTTCTGGCTGTGCCATTTCTTCAAGGAGCCCCAACACAGAAGGAGCCTACTGTCTATGTTCAGGTGTGTTTCATTATCCAGATGTTGATCCCTAATACTATCCTTTGCTGAAAGGAGTCAGAGCTCCTCAGATGGCCGTTAATGGACCTGGAGCATCTTGCTTTTGCTAGAGAGTGTTTGTGCTTTTTAGACAAGATTGGACATGTTCAGAGTGGTATGGCCGTAGACTGTGCTTTTTTTTTTTGGTACCGGGGATCGGACTCAGGACCTTGCACTTGCGAGGCAGGCGGCGGAACCACTGAGCTAAATCCCTGGCCCTAGACTGTGCTTTTTAAATGTCAGGATCAGACTGAGAGAACCAAGAAGCCAATTTAAAGGGCGTCTCAGTAGATAAATCATCATAATTTGAATGCAAATATTAGTACTTTTAAAATTTTGCTTGATAAAAGCAAGTTTAGATTAGGAAAGCTATGAATTCAAAATGGTATTATAAAAAGCAGAATTTAATATAAAATGTCTAAGATGGTAATTAAAAGAGAAGGGTGATACCTGGAACACAAAGATATCTCTCTCTCTCTCCCTCTCTCTCTCTCTTTTCTCTGTATCAATCATTCCTTGGTATTCAAGAGATATTGGTTTCAGGACCTCCTGAAATTTTGTTATTACAAATAACAAAATCTGAGGATGCTCAAATCCTGTATATAAAATGGCATAGTATTTGCATATTACCTATATACTTTATCTCTAGATTACTAATAATGCAATATAAAATTATATAAATAGTTGTTATACTGTATTATTTAGGGAATAATGAAAAGGAAGAAAAAGTCTGTACATGTTTGGTACAAATGCATTATTTTTTTCCCAAGTATTTTTGATGTGTGTGGTTGATTGCTGTGATAGGTATTGAATCCACAGATACAGGGCCAAATTTATATATAATTCTGGTTTCTTCCAGTAAGTCTTTGTGAAATGGAGCCATATAGTTTCTCTTGACCTAAGCAGAAAGAAAATACACCAGGAGAGAGCCATACAGGACAGGAAAAGGTCCAGCACCAGCATTAGAGGGTGTCTTAGTCACTTTCTCATCACTGAGACACATTAGTACCCAATATCCACAACTTAAACAGGGGAGGGGTCCATGGTTAGCTGGCTCTAAGGCAGAGAACAGCACAGCAGAAGGACATAACAGAGGAAACGCTGCTCACATCATGGCTCTCAGGAAGCAGCAGTAGAAGGGAGGAGCAGGGGAAGGAGGTACACCCGTCCAGGTCATGTCCCAGTGATCTGCCTCTAACCAGCCCTTACCTCTTAACAGCAAGCCAACTGTAATGCCTCCATAATCTAGTCACCTTCCTCAAGCCCAGCCTCTGAGCACATGAGACTTTGAGAGGACATTCCAGATCCAAACCACAACGGAGAAACTGGTTCAGAGACTGAGCCAGTAGGTGGAACATCTAGTGGGTGATAGACAGATGAGTTCGACAGAATAACCAGTTAAAGAGAGCTGGCTGTAGACACATCCATTATCATGAGGGTTTCCACATGCTAATTAGGAGGACCTTCCATTTGAGCAAGAGTTCAGGGCTGGCAGGAATGCCAGGACACCAGGCCAGGCTCTGTGGACCCTGCCTAAACAAGGTCTACATCATTTCTGGGAACATTTCAGAATATGTCTCAGTGCAACATCCCCTCTGACTCTTCTTGAGTGCATTAAGGGCCTCAGCTGTCACAAGTCCCAGCCACACTTGATCTTAGCCAAAAGGCCGAGAAGCGATACAAGTCCCAGCCAAAAGGACCAAATTCCTAGGAAGACAAAAAATAGTAGAAACTCTAGGAAAGCATAAAAATATTACAAAACCCCTTGTAAGACAAACCCAAGAGGGGAATAGGTATAAAGAGAGATGAAAATTGGAAAGAGGCTCAAAAGAACTCTCTGGACTGATGCAAATGTTCTATGTCTTGTTTGGGTGGTGGTTGCATGAGTCTGTACAGCTTTGTAGAAGTCAACAAATTGAACACATAAAATCTGTGAGTTTTCTTATATGCTATTTATACCATCGTTTAAGAAAATTACAAAGAGCTAATATTGAGTTTCAAGAAGAAGAAGCAGCAGAAGAAAAGACATGTATAATGGAGACAGCAAAGAAAAAAGTTAAATGTATAGAATAAGCACTTCTTTACTAGTTTTCACCCTTCAGGAAGGGTGATAAGTCTGGTTTATAAGTTGTTTTTAAAAACATAAGTGTTGAAATATTAGACTTATGATTTAATTAAATGCTTAGAATAATTTGATTAAATTTATAATCATGTTTAAACATGCAAGGGAATTTGGTAGTATCAGTGAATTTGGATTAACTGGGTACATTTTTTGAGGAATGCTGATCAATAAATTTTTAAGGTTAATAAATGTATTAATATAAGTACAAATAGTAGTGAACAGTTTTTTCCATGCCAGAACCCATTAGCACACTGATGAATCTATCAACTCATTCCTGCCAGTATAGAAATTATCCCGATACTCAGTACTGTTTTTTTCTGGTGAAAAGTCAGTGTTTAAAGAAATGTATTTAAGAATCATCTCAGAGACTCCAAATTCTGCTTCATGTAAGACTTTTTTTTAATGAGGAATTGTTTATAGAGCACTTCACAGCAGTCAGGAAATTCTGTGCATGAATTTATTTCTGCAACTGTGAGCCAGTTGTGCTGGCCAGGAAGGACAATGCAAAGATTCTGGAAGCTCCCTCTGCTGGCAATGGGGGAGGATTGGGAACTTGTTGAGGCCAGAGGCCTCTTCTAGGAGGGTTGTAGGGTTGGGGTCTGGGGCATGCTCAGAGTCTCATGTGCATGTCCTAGGACCACTTTGGGGAGAGATGCCAGCTGCTGTTCATGGATTTACTCCCTTCATCCATACTCCCAGCTCTCATTTATGGGGTAATTTTTGTACTGAGTTTTGTGCTAGACAGTTGGCTCACCCAGAGAGTCTTTGTTTCTAGGAGGGAGAATAAGTGGCAGCACATGTGGTGGTGCATGCCTGTAATTCCAGCACATGGGAGGCTGAGGCAGGAGGATCACACTGTGAGTTCCAGGCCAGCCTGGGTACATAATTAGCTCAAAGCCAGCCTGAACCACCTAGCAAGACCTTGTCTAAAAAAAAACAAAAAAACCCAAAAAAAAACCCTAACAAAAAATAACAAAATTGAAACTGCCAGCCCTTGAGAGACCCAAGAGCCTAGCACATGTTGCCAGCTTCCAAGGGAATACAGATGGAGTCAGACCCCTTTTGGAAACTGGATTCTCACTTGCCCCTCTGAACTCCAAGTTGCTGTTGCTGTCATCAGAGGAAATCAAATGGTACTTGGAATGATTTGCTCTTCACAGACACTCTTCCATTTTTTTCAGTATACTGTCCTCTTCTATGTGATTTTATTGTTTGTTTGTTTGTTTGTTGAGACAAGGTCTCGATTTGTAATGCAGGCTGGCATTGAACTCATTGTGTAGCCCAGGCTGGCCTCAAACTCCTGGCAATCCTCCTGCTTTCAGGCTTCTCAGTGCTGATTTTAAATTGAGCATTTGTTTTGGGTCTGAGCATGTTACTTAGGTTAAGCCAATAAGGGTGCAGGTATTGAATTTACTTCATTTTCTTTCCTAAAAGAGATGGGAAGGAAACATCATCAGAGATACATACTATTCATGAATTTTTAGAAATAACTAGGGGGCCGGGGATTTAGCTCAGTGGTTTTGCCGCCTGCTGCCCAAGCACAAGGACCCGAGTTCAATCTCGGTACAAAAAAAAAAAAAGAAAGAAATAACTAGGAATCAGGGTATATGAAACATTTTAGCAGCTCCCTGAAGGAGAGGGCTTCTGCCTCCTTCATGCACTCATGAGCCAGGACTCCTGGAAATAAGGCCAGGAGCTTGCTGCTTGCCTGCCAATTGCACAGTTAGTCAGTTCATTAGTAATCTGGAGCTACCTTTAGGTCCAAGAAGAAAGATGGCTTTTTTTTAAAAGCAAAAATCTCTTTAGATGCTACTATGAGATATTTATTGACATCTGACCACTATCTGATTATTTGCTAGGAACTGATTTAGTTTTTACCTAGCTCATATATAAAGCTGTATATATGAAAAAATATTATACTAAACAAACACCTCAAATAAGATTTCATGTACCCAACTCAGCCTCTTAAGGCAGCCTCAAGGGTGCAAGGGTGATCTGGCTGTGACGTCTGTCACCCCATTGATCACCACAGTTGATTTGGCTGATCTAGCTGACTCTGTGGGATTCCCCTTCCTCGCTTACCACTCCATGTGCTTCTCTCCTGAAGCTGTGCACTTGGTTGAAGAGGGCAACCTTCCCAGATAGAGGAAGACTATTCTTTGGTCAAAGTATATGAATAGATGTGGTCCTCTGCTAGAATCTCTAAACAAGTTCTCAAGGGAGCCAGGTGATCCTAGCTCTCAGGAGGCTAAAGCAGGAGGATCACCACAAGTTCAAGGCCAGCCTGAACTACATAGTGAGACACTATTTCAAACAAAACAAAACAAAAAACAGGAAAAAAATGGGAGAGAGGAAGGAAGGAAAGAAGGAAGAAGGGAAAGAAGGTAGGTTGGAAGGAAAAAATGATTCCAACGAGGCATTGACACCTGTAATTCTGAGCTTGGGCAGGAGGATCACAAGTTCGAGTTACTCCTGGGCAGCTTAGTGAAGAGGCCCTAGGTTCAATCTTCAGTACTACAAACACACAAAAGGAAGAAAAAAGAAATTGTCTCTACCCTTGGGGATCTGTCTAGGACACGCTAATCACTTTCCATATTGCTGAGAGCTGTGTTGGCACCCATCTTTCCTTGTAATAAATAACTATGAAAAGGCTGTGTGTCTCAGGCTCTGTGCTGGGCTTGGGCGCCAATGCTGATAATACCTGCCTAATCTCTGCCTATTGTTGAGCCATTTGAAAGGCACTAGATGAAAGGACAGTGTTGTAGAGGTTGAAGTGGCGTTTTTCTTACAGTTCTTTCATTCATATTATTCTCACTGCATTCTATTGCTTTTTAACATCCTGCTTTGCACCCTTGAAACAGTGAGTACCTCCCATGCTCAGATCTTGGTTTCTAAATTCTCCAATAACAGGAACCAGAACTCCATGGAAAAGTGGTTGATTCCAGGGAGGGGTGGGCCAAGGAAAATACAAAATGAGCCTGGAATACTTTGTAGAACAGATTAAGTACTTCTCGTCCAAAATGCTTGGAATGAGAAGTGTTTCAGATTTCAGGATTTTTGTATTTTGGAATATTTGTATGGACTTTACTGGTTGAGCATCCTTATCCAAAAATCCAACATCTGGAATGCTATAAATTGCAAGATATTTTTTTTTGGTGGTAGTGATACTGGGCATTGAACCTAGGGCCTTTGCACTGAGCTATATCCCCAGCCCTCTTTAAATTTTGAGATAAGGGTCCACTGAGTCACTAAATTGCCCAGGCTGGGCTCAAATCTGCTGTCCTTTTGCCTCAGCCTGCCAAAGTACTAGGCTTACAGGTGTGCACCACCATGATCAGCTTAACTCTGCAACTTTTTGAGTCTCATGTTGGCCCTTAAAAAGTTAAGATTTTATAGCATTTCATTTACTTTTGGTACTATTTCAGATTTTCAGATTAAGAATGCTCAGCCTGAACCAGGAAGTAAGGATGTGGTAAGAAAGAAGAAAAGAAAATTAATAAAAGACATGTCAGGAGGACACGGGAGCCAAGCTGAGAGCTCCAGCTAGAATGATTTGAACAACAAAATAGCTGTAGTATTTTATTATAACCCAATAAGTACAATGGCTACCCATGAGTCCATACTGATTAGATTATTGAATAAAAAATAAGGAAGAGGGGACAACCTTTCCTTACAGAATTCCAGTTCACAAAAGTAGAATGGATAAGGGAAATAGGAAATCCCTGTGGCAGCCACAGTAACTACTTCAGGCAGAATCCACAGAGGCATGCTAAAGTTAGTGGGCAAGATTTTAAAGAAGAATGGGATGTCTATATGATCTCAAAGTATTTTTCTTTAAATATTCATCAGTTATTGTGGTGATTTTTAAATAGCTCATCCACAAATCCTCTTCAGGAGATGGCATTTAATTCCGAGGCCCCAGGTGTGAGTTTGTTGACTCAATTCTAGTGTGTAAAGGGAAAAATAGTCATGTGGTAGTCAAGTGATCAAGATTAACAACAGTAGGGATAAAAGATAGATATACAGACCCGTTTCTGATATGACAAGAAGAACATATTGCCTCCAAGAGTCTTGTCTAATCATGAACAAGCATCAGACACCCAAATACTCGTGATCTTCAAAAGTATCAAAGTCATGCAGTTTAAGGACAGACCAAGGAATCAACACAGATAAAAAACAAGGAGACATGCTGAACAAATGCCTTGTGGTATCCAAATTGAATCCTCTAACAGAAAAGAAACATGAATGGGAGAACTGAGAAGTTCAAATAGTGTCTGACATTTAAGTAACAGTTATTAGTGTCCATCCAAATTCAGCCTGATTGTATAGCAGATGTTAATATTCAGGAAAGCCAGTGCATGGAAACTGTGCTTTCTCTGCACTTGGCTCTAAGTCTAGAATCATTTCAAAAGAAAACATTTGCAAGGTGTGGTAGTGTAACCTTGTAGTCCCAGATATTGGGAGGCTGAGGTGGGAGGATCTCTTGAGTCTATGAGTTTAATGCCAGCAGACCTGTGCCTGACCTATGGAAACCTTTTTGTTTCAGGGATGATGCAGTGTGTGATTGCTGTTGCAGACAAAGTGTTCGATGCCTTCCTAAACATGATGGCAGATAAAGTAAGCCTCTTCAGAGCATAAGCATGCACCTGCTGCAGAGCATCATACAGGGGCACTATTCTACCTTCTCTTCTGAATCTAGGCCAAGACAAAGGAGAATGAAGAGGAGCTAGAGCGACATGCTCAGTTTCTGTTGGTGAACTTCAACCACATTCACAAGAGGATAAGGAGGGTGGCAGACAAGTACCTGTCTGGCCTGGTGGATAAGTAAGTTCCATTTCCCACTGATGCTTGTGTGCATGAGTGTAAATGTTTGTGATTTGAAATGAGGGGAACTCATTCTTATATCATCAGTCCAGAAGACAATGGGTTCAGAACAAAAGCTCTCAAGGATGATGCAGCCTTCCCCAGAGTGTCAGTCAGTTAGTTTACTCCAGAAACCTCTTTTCTGAGCTATTGAGACTTTTGGCCTTGATATGTAGTCCAGGCCAGCCTTGAGCTCACTATGTAGTCCAGGCTGGCTTTTAACTCATGCTACTCCTTCTGCCTCAGCCTCCTAAGTACTCTCAGCCTGGTGAGATTTTTTTACAGTACCTATCTTGCTGACAGGAGTCATGTTCCTTTGTCTCTAAATCTCACCTATGATGGGAAGATCCAGCCCATCATCTCCTAGCCCAGGGTCCAGCCAACAGTACCTAAATAGAATGAGTAAACTATGGGCTTCTCAGAAGCAAAAGCACATACTGGCACTTTTCTACTCTGTGTGCTAGGAACCAAAGCAGACCCTCTTGGGACATGTCCCCACTCTGATGAGAACCCTCAGAGATGGTCTGGTCCACCCTCTCTGAGGTGTGCAGGCCAGTGGTAGTATGCACCCACACTAAGCCTGCCTGCAACTTCCTGAAGGTCCAGGGGTTTGGCAGCTTGCTACAGATGCAGCATGCCTGGTGCAGGTAGCTGCACCATTCAAGGGTAAGTCAGAAGCCTGCCAGGAGCCATAAGAATAAGAATTAAGTCTTACACATACGGGACATGTGTCTGAGCCAAGCCTTTCGAGGAGTGTGCCATGGATGACCTTAAAGTTGCATAAAAGTGCTGCTTCTCCAGCCCTGAGGCCACCAGAACCCTCACCTGTTACTTTTAGGAGCTTTTTCTTTTTACCCTAGGGCAGTGTGGCAAACCTATGGGACATGTGGCACAGCAGGCAGTTTGTATCATTGAAAGCTCTAAAAGGTTCACCATCACTGCCCTAGAGTATAATGCACAAATTTTTTATTTGTGCCATGATGTGAAAAATATTGGGGAACCCTAGTTGATTACCAATAATTCTCCAGATAAATTACTAGAATTGTTTTGGGAGGGAGAGGGTATGGCCTGGCTAGTGTAACCAAGACAGCCTGTTGTTATCAGGGTTGAAGCAGGCCACCTGGGGCCTGTTAGGCCTTGAGGAATGGGACTTGCTTGGCCTAGAAATCATTTCTGATCAGCCACTATGCACTTTACTGTGGAAAGCCTGGAGAGGGCTGGTGCCTGCCTGAGGGTATCCTGGCATACCACCTTCAGCAGCCATCAGCAGGTATAGCTTGTGCTGGTGCAGGGGGAGGAGAAGGCGGTGCCCCACCCCCACTCCCACCTGAGGAGTGTAGGCACCTGGGAGGCTCGACTCCTGGGCCCTGAGAGCCTGCCTTTGGTATAGGTTTCCCCACTTGCTCTGGAGTGGGACTGTACTGAAGACCATGCTGGACATCCTGCAGACTCTATCCCTGTCGCTGAGTGCTGTGAGTATCCTGGGTGACCTGGGCTGGCCAACGCACCCACTGTCCACCCTGTGTTATGGGGTGCTCTTCCAGTGATGTGCCTGAGACCAATTTAGGCTATATGTGGTGAATTTGCTTGTGGCATTGTGGAGAGGGGCCCAAATCCCACCTGATGTTTCCCAGTAAGCCGCAGCAAGTCTGGAAGACCATTTCAAATGGGGCACTGGTGGGAAAGGGTGGCAAGTGTACTGCTAGGTCAGTGGCTTGGCTGCGGACAATGCAGGAATGCAGGTTGAAATAGGATTGTCACTGTGCTTGCAGGACATTCATAAGGACCAGCCTTACTACAACATCCCTGATGTGCCCTATCGGATCACAGTTCCTGACACATATGAAGCCCGAGAGGTAGGCCCTACCTGGTCCCTGCACTAAGGCCCATTTTCACTACCATTCCCTGAGTTTATCAGGGCAAGTACTTGACTACAGGAGGTCCCTCTGTACCCAGCAGTTTAAGGTGTGAGTGGTCTTGGCTTTGTTCCATAGTGAGGACACTGAGCAGTGCTGGAGTCCTGCTGCAGAGGGCAAGGGCTAGCCTTGGCTTCGCCTGCCTCCTGACCTGTGATTTTTACACATACTCAATTAAAGGCATATCACCTTTTTGCTATTTGGTAACAGAGTGGCATAGCTTTGGCACTGACTGACAGGCAGAGTAAATAACTCCAAATGAGGACGATGAACTGGGCATCTCCTCTCCCTGACTCAGTCTCAGAGCCCCTGCTATTGCAGGATAAAGCTCAGCTCAGCTCAGCTCTGTGCTCCTGCAGCCTGGGACAAGGACATAGAAACTCATAGAAAACTCACCTGGTTAATCTGAACAGGATCCAGACCAGCTGTCATTGGGGAGTTTTCTTGTGCTGTGGTGTGGCAGACGTGAGGATATTTGCCACCCGGAACAGCCTTCCCTTTAGTTATTGACCTGGGACATGTTGCACTGCGCGTGGGCCTGTGATACAGGTCCTGCCACACAGCCTTGTGCAAGAATTACAGACCACAGTGTATGTGACTTCGGGTCCCCTGGAGCCTTGGTGTTAGAACATGATCATTATTAGGACTACTGTAGCCAGGCACCATAGAAAGGATAGGTTAAGGAATAGGAAATTATTTCCTCACAGTTGTGAGGGCTGAAAGTCCCAAGATCAAGGTGTCCACACAGGTGACTGCTCTTCATGGCTACCCTCTCACTATAGTATGTCCTTCCATGATCTCTCTGTGGGAACATATCCTTGGTGTTTCTGGGTGTTCAGATTTCCTCTTCACGTAAGGATACCAACCAGATTAGATTGAGGACCATCCTAAGGCCTTTTAATTTAGTCACCTCTTTCACAGTTCTGTCTTCAAGTGCAAATTTTTTTTTTTTGGTACCAGGGGTCGAACTCAGGTCCTTGTGCTTGCACAGCAGGCAGCAAGACCACTGAGCTAAAACCCCGGCCCCTTCAAGTGCACTTTTATTCTGAGGTACTGGGAGTTAAGGTTTTATGAACATAGTTTTTTGGGGATGAAACAATTCAGCCCATGTCGGTCACTGCAACTGTCTGGATAGGCTGACTTCAGGTTATTAAAAAGCATTGTCAGGGCCAGGGATTTAGCTCAGTGGTCCTGCTGCCTGCCTTGCAAACGCAAGGTCCTGAGTTTGATCCCCGGTACCAACAAAAAAAGCATTGTTGTCACCCACTTCCAGAGCATTGTGAAGGACTTTGCTGCACGCTGTGGAATGATCCTGCAGGAGGCCATGAAGTGGGCACCTACAGTCACCAAGTCTCACCTACAGGTACTTTCTTGAAGTCATCAAAAAAGCAATCCATGTGTGTTTATAATTTTTAATTTTTATTAGTACATGTTTGCAGTACAGAATGATTACATTCATTGTGGCAAATTGGTACATGTAGGCAATCTTGATAAGGTCCTTTGAGCAGTCCAGAGAGCTTTACACAGGCACAGTGAACTCAGTATACAAACATCAGTAGTATGAATAAACAGAGACCAAGAACATCATTCAGTGTAAAGCCTGAGAATACTGGACACTCAGTACTAGCAACTCAAGGTAGTACTGTTACTGTTAGGAGCAACTTGATGGGTGAGTGTGCTGGCCGTCAGGGCGGGCAGTCCTAGACCTGACCATTCACACCAGATGAGGTGCAGAGTCTGTGGCAGGACTTGGGGCTCCTAGTGAGATGAGTGGGGCCTGTGTGGTGGGCAGAGGAGGCCGCTGGAAGACCGCAGCAGTGCCAAGAGCTGAGTGCATTGAATAAACCTTAGGCAGAGCCAGGGACTTGTGTCCCAGTAAAGCTCTACCTGGAAAAAGACTACATAGGCTGCATGAGTAGGTACATAAGAGTTTTTCTCAGATAAAAGTACTGGCTTATAAATGTGGATGACTGAAAGGTGAGCCATTGTTGTAGACAGTCAAACAGAGACAGAACAAAAATGCCACAGTATGTGAGACTGAAGAGTCACCTTAAAAGGGGTCAAAGAGCTGGGTTTGGTGGCACACACCTTTAAGCCTCTGGGAGGTTGAGGCAGGAGGATCAAGTTCAAACCCAGTTTGGGTAATTTACTGACTTTTTGAGACCCTCTCTTAAACAATAAAAGGCCTAGGGATGTAGGACAGTGCAAAGGCCCTGGGTTCAATCCTTAGTACCCCACACAAAGTGTGGGGGGGGGGCGCAGATCAAAGAAAAGAAAAATGCCACTAGTAGGAATCTAGGTTAGCAAAGAGCAGGTGTGTTGAGGGGAGCTTATGAAATTGACCTCACATTTCAAGGCCAGTTCAAAATGTTTTTGAGTCTGGGCCTGGTAGTTCCTGCCTGTAATCACAACTTTTGGGAGGCTGAGATAAGAGGGTTGCAAGTTTGAGGCTAGCCTCCATAACATAGCAAGATCCCAACTCAAAAAAAGAAAAAGAAAAAAAAAATAGTTTCTGGGTATGGAATCCAGAAAGGGTAGAGCAGCCAGCTCCAGGAGCTTTTGAGGCTGCTTGGAAATGCATTGTACAAGAACATGGGGCTTGTGTTTGTGGTTGCTGTGAGTTTCCTCCTTCTGCAAAGGGGTTGAGCAGCAAGGGGGAGCTGGACCAGGTGGACCCTGTGTGGGACAGACCCACAGGCTAAGCTGGACAGAGCCACTGGGCTGGGTAAATAAGCCATTTGACACCTTGTAGTTTTCACATTTGCACACTGGAATTCTTCAGACTGTGGCAGTTTTCCAAACTATTAATATTTGGGAAATAATCTGATTGCTGTTGTTTCATGTAAGCTGTAGTCTAGAGAGGCGAAGAGCCCTTTAATGCCTAAAAGGTTTAGTGGACAAAAAGGAGTCAGTAGAAAGCTCTTTTTGTTTTCCCTAGCATTTTCTCAGGTAACTTTGTCCTGGAAAAGAAGTAGAAAATGACAGCTTGAAATGCTGTCTATGTTTCCCCCGGGCCCCACCCTTGGCATCCCACCCCCATCCCTGCTTTCCCCTTTCCACAGCAGTCTTCCCCTTCTGAGCATCACACAGCTCTCACTGCTCAGTCCCACCTCCCAGCCTCAGTCTTCCTGTCTGCCCTCATCTATTCCTAACAGAGTGGTTCGGTTTTAATAGCATCTAGTCAATATACTTCCTTTTAAACTTGATCACTAGCCACTCTCCATAACCATGGGATCCATGAATGTTTTTCTGTGGCCTAGTTTTATATGTATGCTCATGTGTTTTTTGGTGGGGAGTTAGTTTCTGTTGATCTATAATCCCCCAGCCCCCAACTCCATAACCCTACTCCTGTAGGTGGTGCTCTAGTGGTGTGAACCCCTGTGGTCCCAGATCAGGAGGCCTCCCTTCCACTTCTGGGCTCAGCCAGGTGTCCCTTTGTCTCAGTGTCTCCTCCACTGGCCACCCAGGGGGGCTCAGGTGCTTGTCCTAGGCTCCTGATGTCTTGCCTGCCTTGGACAGCAGGGGTGCTGCAACAGTGACCATGGCCTGTATGCAGGCTCCACCCCACACTGCTGCACACTGTCCACAGGACCAAGGCCTTGTAGCTTATGTCCCAAGTGGCCAACACAGCTCTAGGTTAAGTGGTAGATTCTCAGAAAGGAGTGATCCTCTCCTCTTAACCATGTGACAGCCACTCTGGGACTTGGGCCTTGTCCTCATTCATAGATGAGCAAGCAGCACCCAGTCATAGACCTTATTGACTATCTTACAGCTGAGGAGTAAGGTGCAGACGCAGCATTGAAACTTGGTGCTTCCTCTGCTACTCCATGCCTTTTTTGTAAAGCTTTATTTTTCCCTTTAAGTGAAATAGCATGTTTTCTTCTTGTTTCAGGAATATCTGAACAAACATCAGAACTGGGTGTCGGGACTGTCCCAGCACACAGGGCTGGCCATGGCTACTGAGAGCATCCTTCAATTTGCTGGATACAACAAGCAGAACACAACTCTTGGGGTATGTGCAAACCTCCTGCTGAGCAGTGATGCCCTCGCCCCTTTAATTTGTGGGAGCAGCATTATAGGAGTGAGAGAAGGACTCAAGTTTATGTGTAGTTTGTTGTGAAATTCCCCTCTGTACACATGTGTTGGATATGTGTGATGTGTGTTGACAGACAGGAGTTGGGTGACACTCAGGTGAAAGAAGAGGTGGCAGCCCAGCCTCGGCAACTTAGTGACTTAGCAAGAACCTGGTCAAAATTAAAAGTAAAATTAGGGCTGAGGATGTAGCTTAGTTCAAAGACCCTGTCAGTCAGTCCCTAGTAACACAAACGAAGAGGATGAGGAAGAGGAAGAGAAAGAGAGAGGGGAGGAGGAGAACAGCAGCCATTAAAACAGGCATTTCCTTATATGTATAAATTTATGGAGATCAAAAGTTGATTTGTGAATGAGGTCAGATTTAGATTTGAGTGTCTATATCCAAAAGGAAAGAAACTGACCTCTTTTAGACATGGACAGCATCATTTCATAATCAGTGTTTATGTGGAATATTCACCAGACTTTCTAATAGTTCTGGGGTGTGGAACTGTGTACATGTACTTCAGCTTCATCTTGTTCTGCTTGAGATTAATTTAGGGGGGAACCAGTTCACAATATAGTGGTTTCTGAGTTAAATTAGAGCTAAAAAGTAAATGAGAATCAGAGCAGGCAGTCAACATCCAGTGATGAAACTGGCCAGCCAGTGTTGTGTTTTGGCATCTAACAACCCTAGGATGCCACCCCCACCCCCCATCACTCCCTCACTCAGGACTTGGTTAATCTGAACAGGAGCAGGGTTTTCGGGGCACGTGTGCTCTTTGACTTTCTCAGCATCAGGTGTGGGCTTTACATGGGGGAGGTACAGAGACTGAGCACCCAGGAGGAAGGGTGGCAGGACTTCCCTGGGACCCAAGCAGGAAGAGGAATCCTTGCCTAGGCCCGAGTGCCCTCTGGACTCTGTGCAGGGCCTGAGGCAATGCCAGGGGAAACACTTGTCTCCAGACCGCATTCATAGTAGAGTGCTCACCTCAAGGTCACTGACTTTCTCCAAAGACACCAGCCTCAGCACATGTGACCAGCTGAGCCATGTGCAGCCAGCACTCAAACCTTCCTGTGTTGATGGGGCACACTGGGGTCAGTGCCCTGACCTGGGCCTCTCTGCCATTTGGAGGACATAGTAGTCAGGCCAGAGGAGAACTCACAGATTTCGATTGAGAGTGCTTATGACAAAGAGTAGTCCTTCAAAGAGTGATTAGGATGAGAAGTTTGCCAGGTATAGTGGCACATGCCTGTAGTGCCAGTCCTCATAGGCTGAGAGGCAAGGTCCTAAGTAAGTTTGAGCCTGGCTTGGATATGTAGCATCGTAGCAATACCCTGTCTCAAAATAAAAAAAAAAAAAAGTTTAAAAAGGGCTTGTATGTAGCTCAGTGCAGAGGCCCTGGGTGTTCAATCCCATTACACACTCACACACACACGCACACTCCTTTTCTAGGATCAGGCCAGCTGACTTGTGAGAGATCTATTTTTCCTAAAAGATTTTAATCTTTGTTCTCAAAAAGTTAAATGTAAGTTAGGTTTTACCCTCTCTGATGCTAAACAGACAAAGATACATTTAGTTATGTGTCCAGTTGTTCGTTGTGCTCAAGAACCTAAGATACTTTCGCCCCATAGAAAGCACTGGAGAGTGCAGCACCCTCGAAACATCTCCCATCATATGATGCTTTGAGAAGAACATTCTTGAAGGACAGTCTCAGCAGCAGGATATCAGCCTAATAGGACCACTGCATCAGGAAACCTCAGCAAGACTCTCCTGCAGCACCTCTTGATGTCTTCTCTGCTGTCCTCTGGCTGACTTAGATTGGGCGTACTGGGTACATGGGAGCAATTTTAGAAGGGAGAGATCTGGCTTGCACTTTGCCCCACCGTGTGCCATTTGTTGTTCTGGGGGCTTTGTGTATCTTACTGCGTTGATCCTACCTATGACAGCTTTGTGAGAGAGGCAGTTATTGTCACTTATTTTGCTTTTTTGGTACTGGGGATTGAACCTAGGGCCTTCACACATCCCCAGCCCTTTTTTATTTATTTTGAGATAGGGTCTCACTAAGTTGTTACACTACCCAGTCTGGGCTCAAACTCAGGATCCTCCTGCTTCAGCCTCCCAAAGTGCTAGAATTATAGAAGGGTGTAGTCATACCTGGGTTTATCCCTAGTTTTCAGGGGAGCACACTGAAGTTGAGAGACACTAAGTGCCTTCTCCAAGGTCACAGATTGTTAATGTCAAGCCAGGTTCAAATGCAGTCCTGGTTAATGCTAGATAGGTGCTGTACTGCTGAGCCTTATCCTTGCCCCCCTGCCCCCGCCCCGCATGATGCTAAAGGCCACACTGCAAAAAATGTAAAACACTTCTGACTTTGTGCATGTGAGCCCACATGCGTGTGTGTGTGTATACATGCACAAATGCAGTACTGGATATTGAACCCAGGGTTACTGTACCACTGAGCCCTTTTGTTTTTTTGATAGTCTCATTAAATTGCCCAGGCTGGCCTCGAGAACTTGCAGTTCTACCTTAGCCTCCAACGCATACAGCTATGTGACTTTTTTTTGTTTTTAAAGAAACTAGTTTAATATTGTTGTATAAGAGCCGTGTAATTTTGTTCTTGCTTGTGTTTTGCTTTTCCCCCAAATTTATATTTTCTCCTTTGACCCACTTTATGCCTACTCCCCCAGTAAAAGTCCCTCCAAACTCCGACATTTGAGAAATTTCTCTTTTATTAGTAGTATCGATATTTCAACATGAGTTGTGTCAATTTGTAGTAAATGATGCTAAAGGAAAAATGTGTGCCACTGGCTGAGCAGGAGCTACAGAGTGGATAGCAAGGAAAAGCCAGGGTTAGGAGGAGAAGCTGCCCGGGGTGCTGAGCACCTGGGTCCAGAACTGGGGAGGGCCTGGGAGGCTGAGGCTTACAAGATACATATCAGGGAGTGGTTTGCCTTTGTGCTCAGGGGACACACCTTTCCAGACATTTGGGCAGCTGTTGGATGTTTAAGGGCCCTGCTAGCTTTTACTCCCACCTTCAGTCAACCTTTTGCCATCACATTCAGAAAACTTTAGTACCAACTGCCTTCTGGAGGCATTTCCTACATCAAAAAAAATTTTTATTTACTTTTTTTTGGTACTGGAGATTGAGCCCAGAATCTTTGCACTGAGCTACATCTCTAGCCCTTTTCTACTTTTAACTTTTATCTTAAGGCAGGGCCTTCTTAAGCTGCTAAGTTTCCCATGCTAGGCTTGAACCTGCAATCCTCCTGCCCCAACCTCCTGGAGTGCTGGGATTATAGGCATGCATCATGAATCCTGGCTACATCTAAAATTTTAAAAAGATCTTTTTTGTGTGTGATATATCTGATTCTAGAACCTATTCTAAAGTATTTCATCGTATTAACTTATTGGCACAACAATTTTAGTAGCCCCTGGATCTAAACTTGTCATCTTCTCCTTCTTCCTCTTCCTTTTTTTTTCTTTTTTTTGGTACTGGAGATTGATGAGCTACATCTCTCTAGCCTTTCTTTAGTTTTTATTTTAAGACAAGGCCTCACTAAGTCTCTAAGTTGCCTAGCATGGGCTCTAAGTCATGATCCTTCTGCTTACCAGAGTGCTGGAATTACAGATGTGTGCCCCCATACCCAGCTTGATCTGGACTTCTTAATTAGACTTCTCTGTAGTCATGAAAAAAAAGGTGATGTTTTGATGGTCTCCAGTAATTGTTGTTTTTTGTTTTTTTGTTTTTTCCTGTAGGCAAATCAGCTAACCGAGCGCCCGGCTTGTGTGACAAAAGATTACTCCAACTTCATGGCTTCCCTGAATTTGCGTAACCGCTATGCAGGCGAGGTAATTTTGTCACCAGTGTCCAAGGTTTAGAGCATTCTCGTGGTTTGATGCCATTTGGCTCTTTTTTTGTGGGACATAAGTAATGAGTCTGGGCAATGTGGAATTCACTCATTTTAGGTGGCTTGATGCATGGAGCCCCAACACTATTGGCATATTTTGGAGCATGTACCTCACATATGCATGTTCTGACTATGCTGAGGAATTCTGAGTTTTGGCTTTTTTTTTTAAGTGGTAGCAAACACTTGTTGAGTGCCATGCATTCTCCTGGGTACTTGCTTAGATGTGCATAGTATGATTCTGATTCTACAGATAAAGAAACTAAGACTCCTGAAATTAAGTAACTTGCCACAGTCAGGCAGAATAGCTTCAGGAACAACCTCTGTCAGCTCCACTTTGAAGGCTTTCACCCAGCACACTGCAGTTTATTGGTGTAGTTTTTTTTCTTTTTTTCGGTATCAGGAATCAAACTCGGGTCCTTGTGGTTGCAAGGCAGGTGGCAGAACCACTGAACCAAATCCCCAGCCCTCACACCACAGTTTATTTCACCCTGACCAGTTACTTCACCTCGCTGGGCCTCAGTTCCCTTATCCACAAAACACAGAAACTCATTGACACCATTAGGAACTATGAAAGTTTGTCAATAGCCTGATCTCAGGGGGGCTCCCCTCCCCTGAAACACTGCCTCTTGTTTATTCCAATGGTTGCTCTTCACTGGAGTCTCTGCAAGTAGAATCCATGCTCTGCTGAGTGACTGTTGACCACATGCTGGGAATTGCTGAGAGTCCTTTCCACATTGATTTGAATACCCTGGTGGCAGAAGGAGGTCTGAATTTGAGAGAGAGATTTTCTTGGGGTTGGGGGTGAGGGAAGAGTCAGATCTTCTTTACACTTTATGAGTCAGAAAACACTTCCTGGGAAAAATAATCATGTCTGACTTTAAAGACAATGAGGCAGCTCAGCAATAAAGTGCTTGCCTAGCATGCATGAGACCCTGAGTTTAGTCCCTCAAATCTCAAACAAAAATATGCAACTGATCTTGTTTGAATCATTGAGTCTAGAGGAATTTTACTTATCTAGTCCATGTGTTTGTGTATGGGTCAGACCATGGGCACAGCACTGGCCACAAAGATAGAGAGAACAAGTCCCATACCCTCAAGGAGCATCTGCAGTAGTGGGGGTACTAACAGGCATTTCTAGAAGAGAAATTCTTTTAGAAAAATCTGTGAGGGCTACAGTGGTAAAATGTGTTTAGCATGAAGTCCTGGGTTCAACCCCCAGCACAGTGCATGCATGCTCATGTGCACACGCACAAACGTGTACATACACACACAAACACACACACTGGCATTGCTGGTCCTATTGTAAGCATGGTCAGGTCCTCAACCAGGTCCTGGAAGCTGATGAGTTTGCTTCTTGCAGGTGTATGGAATGATTCGGTTCTCAGGTGCCTCAGGCCAGATGTCTGACCTGAACAAAATGGTGATGCAGGATCTGACTACAGCTTTGGACCACAATAATTCTCAGCACTATACACAGGCCATGTTCAAGCTGACTGCGATGCTCATTAGCAGCAAAGGTAATGCACATAAGCCCCATGGAATTTTGGATCGCTTCTAAGTGAATGTTTGCCAAAGTGGTTCTTAATAAACTGGATTCCTGGTCAAAGAAAAAGGTGGTGCTCTCCAAATAGAGTTCTCTGTGCCATCTATGAATGGAAAGTAAATAAAAGGCCATTGTTGGCCTTAGCTGGAGCTGACTGTCTTATCAACCCACAGAAGCTGTGTTCAGGTCCAGCCAGGGTCAAAGGCCTCTAAATGACCTGTTTTTGATTTCAGATTGTGACCCGCAGCTTCTCCATCATCTGTGTTGGGGTCCCCTCCGAATGTTCAATGAGCATGGCATGGAGACTGCCTTGGCCTGCTGGGAGTGGCTGTTGGCTGGCAAGAATGGAGTGGAAGTGCCGGTAGGACACTGACCCTCAGTGTAGGCCTGATACGAGATACAAAGAGGCTGCCCTGGCAAGACCCTGGCCAGCCTGCTACCCTCTCAAGCCTTGGTCCTCCTCATAGATTGTGGTGTTAATGCCTGACTACACAAATATTGGAAAACAATGCAGTTTGTATTAAAGAGTGGTGCTTGTAGAGCTGGTATTTTTTCAGAAGCTCAGTAGGGGGAGCCATTTCTCTACTGAAATTGGAAGACTGTCAGTTGAAGGCTTGTTGATACTGGTTCTGATGGGGTGCCTGTGCATTTGTCGATGAGGATGGATTTTTTTTAAAAAGTTAATTTTATTGGTACATTTAAGGTATACAGTATAATGACATCATCATTGGAAATTTGCACCTTTACAATAATCCATCTTGGTTCTTATTTTTTCCCCATTCCCCTGCCCTCTCTTTAACCCCTCCAGCCCTATCTACAAAGACTTTGTTTCCATTTTTTTTCTCATATTCCATTCCCTTCTTTCTTTTCCTCTACCCCTCACACGTCCCCTTCCACTTTGCACCTTCTCTTCCTATTCCGCATTATCTGTTATACCTTTTAGTCCTTATTTACACTTTCAGTTTCTCACACTAGAGAAACTATTCGGTATTTACATGTGTGTCCTATTTATTTCGCTTAAGAGTATCGCCTCAATGTGCATCCATTTAGCTATAAATGTCTCTAGTTTCTCATTTTTTTTTTGTTATTCAGACAAAATATTATAGGTTTATTTAAAACTTATTTCTCACCTTGAGTATGCAAAATACAAACTCCACAAAATGTTCATTTCTTTACTTCATAGTTTACAAATATACAAAATAGAAGTTTGCTTAAATTTATATTACATATTTATTAAGGCAAGGAACTATATAGAAAAAACACATTTGTCCTGTTTAAGGCATACTTGGGAATAAACCATTGTACAAAGTATTGCACATCTGAAACCACAGTGCATAACAGACTGTCTGCATAAAAATGTTAAAGTAAACCAGGTATATTTACCTGACTTAGGTCATAAATGTAGATCGGAAGGCAAAAATAGATTTTCCTTTTCAAAGTATGCAGCAGTTTGAGAAGAACTTTGGCTTCCTCATTTGGTACCTTTAGAACCAAGACCCACCAAGCACCATCATGTAGGCCATTAAAACACATTTTCTGTACCTGAATTTCTTCCTCTTCTCCTAACATCATACTAATAGCTTTTAGAAGGCAAAGAGAATACAAGGTGATCTTTATACTTATATTGCATCGAAACACAATTCAAGAAAATCCGGGTCTTCCTGCCCTCCCCAACTCATGGATCTAATTTATACCCTGATATCCACAACTTCCAGTCTCTCCCATGGCGTTTTGTAAGTCCAGGCATGTTCAAGTTGGATTTAGAATTGGAATGATAGAAGATCCAGTCACAGACCCCATCTGTTCTTTGATTTTTATGTCTTTGGGATTTCTCCTTTCTCCCGATTATACACTCTCAAGCTGACCTGCTGGGAACTTGACCGTGATGATTGTTGTGCTTGCCAGCTGGGTCCTCCCCTTGTGGGAAGACAGTGTAAAAGGTTTTTAAAAAATACTGAATTCTCTCCTGGCAGTGCAGGTCATGTCCACTCTGGGATTTAAAAGTGCCGCTTCATGTGTAAGGCCAGGTGGTCCGACCTGGAGAAGGCCCGGTCGAACTTCTGGCACTGGAAGGGACGGTGCCCCGCGTTTGCGGTAGTGCCTGATCAGTTCATCGGAGCGGGCGAACTTCCACCCACAGCCATCCCAGTCACAGTGGTATGGCTTCTCACCTGTGTGGGTTCGCAGTTGTGCCTTGAGATGAGAACGCTGTATAGGTCTTGCCACAGCCCGCATAATCACAAGTATGGGTGGCCGTCCTTTCCCAGGGCCATGACCTTCTTCCCATCTTTGGCTTGGGCTCCTCTGGCAGGCAGGAACCGGGTGGCATGAGCTCTTGGTAGTGAAGCGGTGGGACCTGCGGCTGCATCTGGTCAGGCAGAAAGGGTGGGTAGTTGGGTCCCAGATGGTAATGGAATCATGGGGGAAGCGGCAGGGCGGGGTGACAGTCCCTGGTGCTCAGCAGTTCCTCGGGACCCAGGGTCGGGTTAGTCCTGCTCGGGAGCTGGCGCCCCAGGGGAAAGCCGTGTGCACTTGGCCGGTGCCCGTTGCTGAACGGCGGTCCAGCGCCCAAGTGGGCCTCCAGGGGCCGGCCGACCATGCAGGAGGGCACCGCCTCCTGCTTGATCTTGGGACACATGCGCTGCGTTCCGCCGCTGTAGGGTGCCACCACCACCGGGTGGCTGCCGTCTGGGCTGCCTTTGCTAACACTGATGACCCAGGGACTGCCATACTCGCTTCCAGGGGCGCTCAGTGACGCCTTCAGCACAAACTTGCCCTTCAGCCCGCCACCTGGCGGCAGCGGAATGTACACTGGGTCCAATTCGGGCCGCAGGAGCTCGGCCACGAAGCCGCCCGAAGGGCTCACATCGTTGTTATCCACCAGGTTGAAGGGAGCCGTGGGAGGGGCCGCCGACTCCCGGCCATACAGGTGGCCAGCTCCAGTGCCGCCCGGGGCCACGCCCAGGTCGCCCCTGGCCCGCATGGGGTAGCTGAAACTGCAGGTGGAGGGCGCGCCGGCTGGGCCGCTGCTCCATGGGGAGGACGAGGATGAGGCTGATGCCGACGAGGATACGGTGGCGGCCAGCGACTCTTGATGAGACAGCGAGTTGGCGAGAATAAATTCTAGGTCTAGGAGATCATTGAATTCCTCCGTCTCTCTCCGGGTTAGGTGGGCTGGGTTGTTACCGCTGCAGGCTGTGCCTGCTCCACTGTCCAGGTCTGTGGCCACGGTCGCAACCGCCAGGTCGTAGGGGCGGCCGGGAAGCACCGGGCG